TTGAAATATTGTTTGGGAAATACAATTGCAGGAAGTACTGGTAGTATAATGGTGAGTGTGCATGAGAGGCTCAATGATTAGAATCCTTTGCCTTTTCACAATGGTATAGGATAAAAGTAGAAAATATTGTTGGCCAGATAAGGATATTGAATTTTGCTCTTTCAGAATGTCTATTGCCAATTTTTTTTCTTGTATCTCTTAAGAGATCTCTTCCAAAAATTAGTTCAAAAGATTGATTCCAGTTGGCTAAAATTCCCAGGAGAACTCAGGCTTCAGAAGGGAGTAATAATGAAAATGGTTTCAGTGGATCAAGTGGAAAGTCTTTTGATTACTATTTCCCAGATGATTTCTATATTCATATTCTCTCTTCCCAATGAAAATGCAGTAGTTTTCTGTGACAGTAAAGGCTGAGCTTTACTGGAAATCTGTGTAGGCCTTAGTTGAAAATTTTCCCACACCAAATAGAAAGATTGGATAGTTATTCAGTGAGTCTTTTACCGAGAGAATCATGACAGATATTTGTCCCATAGAGGGCGGTTTATTTAATTTTCTCACTATGGAATATATCACCTAGTCAATATCCCCTATTACTTAATTTGTAGCATTTTGCATTTTATTTTGTACTGCAATGTCTTGTTTAACACACACTCTTAAGTAAACATTGTCTGTATTCAAAACCTGCAACCTCTAAAAGTGCATTATCTTGCTAGAAATAAAGCAAAGTACTTTTGAGTAAGGCTATAATGATTTCAAATATGCCTAATATCATAGTATAATCCCTCTTATTGTTATGATTGTATGTGTACTTTTTCCTCTGTACAAAGTGAATTACACTGGTGTGCTAGAATCGGTTTCTGACATTTTCCATTTTGAGTACTAGTGAGTATTCAACCTTATACATAAAATAAAAATAATTGTAATAAAAAACAGAAAGGATGGTAACAGGAAAATATGTCCTGTTCAAACTGGGGCAATGGCTACAGTGTTTGATTGACATAAGACTGGTGTGAGACACCCATCAATTACAGACTTCAAGGCTTGCACTAGTAGAAGGCACCTGAGAGATCATCCAGGAACCAGTGAAGGAAGGAGCATTTCCTACACATTTCCTGTCAAATAGCTATCTGTTCAAATATTTGTAGTGAACAGATAAATATTATTTGCATAATTTCTTTTTGAATTATATAATTATTTAAGGGTATAGATTTATAAAAAATCTTTAGTCTTATCCTACATTATTAATTATTAAATGTAATGCCATCATTTGATACAACTATTCGTTTCAACTTCAAGTTAGGCACACATGTGGCAGAGGCTGTCCTTATTCCAGGGGATCTATGCAGCAATCCTCTTCTTGTAAGATCCTCAAACTAGCCATATACTCCTAAGTTCATGTTTATGAAGTGCAGACTTTCTTAGATAATCAGCTCTTTCAAATTGATACTGAATTGCATGAAAAGAGATGACACCGGTGTTCATAATATTACATAATATTATATAGCACTTATGGGAGAAGATTTAATAGTTCATTTGTACCACTAAAATGCAAGAAGTGCAATAATCAACATCAAGGACAGGCATCCTAGAACACTGGTAGATTTAGACACCAATAAAACATTTATCAATTGTACTCAAATATATATCTAAATTAAAGAAGAAAGTTTTGAGAACCAGAAGAAAATCTTGGAATTTAGTTGTTCTGAATTAGAGTTTAGAGGAAAAATAATCATAGAATAGATTCACTGTAAATATAAATTGAAATGAATCTGTAAAAATAGGAATATTTTTAATTTAACTCAAGTATAAATTCTGAGCCAAACCAGGAATAAAGATATAAATGTGCTAAATTTTTGCATTGCTGAATCTGCTATTTTATATTTTGTTCTTCTGTTTAAGAAATGCTATTGAATACCTAGTACCAGCCAGGATTTCCTTTGCCTGCAGCTAGGCTTAATTTGATGGACTTAGAAATACAGAATCAGACAGGTCATTATACAAAAATTTAATGTATTAAATTTGAGAAGATTGCTTATAAAATGTTCTCTTGGATTTCTCAAGATTTTATTTACAGAAAAAATTTACTTGAGATTACCTCCCTTGTATAATTTAGCACACAAATACCAGATCAAAATGGGGCAATTATGTAATACTTGATGGTATAGTATTATTCAGGTTCTGTAACACTAATGTTTTAATGAAATGCTACCTTATTTTCTATCTCTAGAATACCAACTGCACAATAACCCAAAATGCTAAGTGAAAGCTGCTACTCAGTGCTATACAGGCTCAAAAAATATCATAGTGGATCTTCATCTATTCACTGGATTTGACACTGTGCGTCTTCCAAATCATCCCAAAGTCAAAATGACCATGAAAGATTAATGTTTTGAATGGATTCAGGCCATCAACAAAGCCATGATGGTGCAACTTCACTCACCAAAGAGACAGAAGTGCTTCCAAAAATGGCAGTAGTGATGGGATAATTAAGAGGGAGTATTTTGAGGACAATTAATATCAGTGTGTCTTAACACATTGAAAAAAGTTAACTACTTTATTTTTTAATCACACTTTGTACCTTATATTATCCTTGTGAAATAAAACACAAGCTATACTACCAATTATGTTTAAGAAGAAATTTCCAAACTGAATGGACATAGTCAAAATTGTCACAATCTTTTTGTGGTGGTGAAGGCTGCTCTATTACTGACATTTGACGTAGATTAGAGATAAAGTAAAGCCTCTGTATATTTTGCATACTTTCTTTTCACATATATCATTTACTGTGATGCTTAGAATATTATGTGAAGTGCATAAAGGTAACTTATTGTTACCTTCTTTTAATAGAGAACTATGACTTAGACTGTAACGTGAATAATGTCTGACAGTTACTTTATGGTGAGCTCAGGTTTTTAAACTAATGTTTGAAATCCAAAGTACTGAATACTGGACTTTGTCTTAATACTCATGGAGTTGTTGAATCATGAATGGGATTCAGACTGCCCAGGCTTTAAGCCATTACAACTACAATGTATGAGATTGAGTAAGTGGAGGTAGGAGGGGCTGGTAGGTATATTCCTGTGTCAACTATCACATATCATACAGAGTTCCAAAATGAATGGTAAGTACTTTGAGTTGTTCACACCTGCCACAGTGCTTGTACTACTGTTGAATTTTGTTTAACATCAAGATCACATTCTCTTCAATAAGATCTTTAGGTAAAATTCAGACAGGTATGATTAAGGGAATGTCTGTGCTAGCCGTATATAGAACTTAGAAATTCATTATACAGATGAAATGCTTATTGTTTTCTGAATATATTTCAATAAAAATAAGAATACAATCAAGATACTACATTACATAATTCAGACAAGCCAAACTTTCGGCCCTCTTATTTAGTGTAATACTCTTATACCTTGGCACCTTATGTTACGTTTTTGCTTTTACCTGTGCTTCGTACAAAACAAGTAACTATATAATGCCAGTTAAAGTTATGTGCTGGTTAACATTTATTCTAGTGAAACTATTCACTATTAGATTTCAAAGTTTCTCAAAAATTAAACTTGGCCAGGATATCTGATCTTGAACTATTACCCAAATTTCCTCAAATGCTCCTTTTTTTTCTATCGAAGCTCTGCTTTGTCAGACTGTTACTTCACTTCTAGCTGTTGAAGAATGAGCACCAGGGTAAGAACATGCTTTCTGAAGGACCACCAGGACCCTGGAGACTTAAAGGTGCAAGTGCAGTGAGCAAGCTCCACGGATGAAACATGACCAGTGTCACATGTTCCTGGAAAGAAGTGGCAGCTAAATTCTCCTCCCTTGTCCTTTTCAGGAAAGTTCCCTGCTTTTTGGTCCTCTGGTGAAGTAGACATTATGCTTCTCATTGTTTTGAATCTTTAATAGCTTTACTGTTCTTTTTTTGTTTTTCCTTCCCAACATTTGGCTTAATAAAACTTTCTAGAAAGCTGTAATGAAACTTACAACTATTTAAAAGCTTGTTAATTTTTATTACTGTTATGTCAGTGATTTTCAAAATCATGTTTCAATCAAGGAACAATTACTTCAAATATATTTTAAGGAGATCAACATACTTAGATAGAGGTGGAGTTGCCAAATTTGAAGTTAGAACGTGTGAGTGTGTGTGTGTGTTTGAGAAAGACATCTGGAATCTTACTCTTTTATGTCTTCCCGCAGGAAATGGTGAAGTACATTTCAGGAACCCATCATGCTTTCTTGAGTGGGACTTGGAAATAAAGGCTCTATTTCTGTTGTTTTTGTGACTTTATACCACAGTAAAAATGCAGACTTCTGAGGAGTGATTCTCCTCTAATATAAATTTGGCAGGAAGGCTTGCTAAGTAGGAATGGGAATACTGTCCCTATTTGTTATTGTAAACTGAGTATGTTCTCTCTCTCTCCCTCGCTCTCTACCCCTCTCCTTCTCTCCCTCTCTCCTCCCCTCCCTCTCCCCCCTCCCTGTCTCTCTTTTTCTCTCCCCCTCTCTCTCCCTTTCTCTGTCCCCCTTCCTTCCTTCTTCCCTCCCTTCCTTTCTGTCCACTGCCCTCTCTCCTTCCCAGTTTTTCTCTCTCCCACAAGCCACTATTTGTCAGAAAAGGAAAAGGAAAACTTACATTCTGAAAAATTCCTGAGACATTAGATTCCTTCCTCATTTCTTAGAAGATTGCTACTTTTATTTTCTTCTGGATCACATTGCATAATACCCACTTGTCACCAACTCTAGATTTAACAGTGTGGATTTTCTTACTGAACTCTTGCATTTACACATACATATTTATTATATAAATATTTTCAAACTATAAAGGGGTAAGCAAATATAAGGCATTATAAGAAATCTAGTTTTAAAAACAAGTCTATTTGGATATAGTTGCAATTATGCAAAGGCTTTGCTGAAATTTCAATTTTATTAATTAAAAAGTCAAGCATTATTGAGACCCTACTTTCTTTAAGACACCTTACTAAGAAATAGAGTCACACGAATGTCGCGTTCGCCTTTGACCAGCAATGACGACGCAACACCAACGCTCTTCTTCTAGCAGTTTATTCAGGAAAACTTAACATTCTTTTTCTTCTACCTCTGGGGAGCACCCGTCCCTAGAATAAGTACCCCTGAACCAACCAATCACGGATAGTCATGTGGCAAATGCAAAAAAGTACACGTAAGAGGGGGCAGAGCATCAGACACATCACAGCCAAATAAGGAGTTGTTTATCATAAAGAGCTCTCGCCGTCGGGATGGCGGAAGGCGGAAACCAGCGCCATCTTTAAGGCGTGGCACACGCAGCTCTCCACACACGAATAGAAATAAGATGTCCAAATCCACTAGAAAATACAAGTAAGGGTATTTGTAAGACTCACTTGAAATTGTTAGGCACGATAACCTAGAGGAAGCAAGGTGCTCTGGAATTACAGTGGCAGCCTGTGATTAATATTGACTGTGAGGATGAAGGAAGGTTTCGTTGAGTATGTCTGAGCTGGAACTTGAAATTTTAAGTAACTTCAAAGAAAAGAGATACAAAGCAAAGATGTGGAGGTGTGGTGTGCTTAGATTACAAGTGTTCTGAGAACTGAGGAAGCTCGTTTTCACTTGTAAAGCAATTACCACTAGTAGCTGGAGCACTTTAGAAGGCAAAATGCACCATTACAATTCAAGCTGAAGTGCTGTTCCACAGTTGCAGTCTCTCAGTGCTTGACGCATGTTCAGCATATCATGCTCTGTCAACATTGTGCAATGTCTAACATAGCTTATAGGATGCCTTGATTAAAATCTAGAAATGTGAATGAAGTCCATTGTCTGACTTATGCCTCCCATTTAAAACTTCCAGTAAAAAAGTACCATTCCATTTTTTAAATGATTCTAGAGTCCAAGAAATCATATAAAAGCAGTAAGAGTATCTCAGGAATTATACAAGACCTTCCGTCATAGTTTATACAAAGGAGGCCTTAATTACTTTGTACCTTTAGGATATTTTGGATCATTTAGAGATCATGTTAAGCCAACAGACTCTTCTCAAGATTTCTACTTCCCATCAGTGCTGCACAGAAAACTTACGAGGAAGGCCAGCTGCTTACTTCTCACAGAGATACCCCTGCCTCTTGATAGCCCTTGTTTACTTACTCTACTTCCAGTCTTCTTCAAGTAGCATTAGCTCTGTTCAGAATCTAGGTCTGTTTAGTCTCAGAGTTTCTGCTTCTATGCTATTCTGAAAGTCAAAGGAGAGATTTCCCAATTAAACCAGAACATGTGCAGCTATGCTTCCAAATGTGTCACATTAGCTTGGATTCAAGTATAAGTCAGAAAACCTGTAGTCAACCTCCTACTTGCATCCGTGAATAAGCATACAAGCCACTGCAGGGCTGTTCAGGCTAAACAGATGGGTAGTCCTGTAGGGAACAGATTGCAGCAGAGTGAGGAGGTAGGATGTAATGCCACCCCCTCTGAACTGAGAAACATATTCAGCAGCAGGAAAGACATCCTTTTTAATGCAGCTATTCTTCTTTAATTCTCCACATTTAACAGTTTCTAAGGAAAGGTTACATCTTTTTGTCCTTCGTGCATCTTTGTTACTTTCATTTTATTTTTTTTATTTCATTTTGCTGAATTCACTAGTATTAATAATCAGCATTATCTGTGCATTGTTGCTCCTGTACAAAATCAGTACCATAATTAATTGTGATGATTAACAGAAAGAGTATAGTATAAAAATATAAAGTACATTTTACATTAAACACACCAAGTGAATGAAGCTTTGTTTTGATATTTTAATCAATAATTGGATATTATTTTTATATAGGAATATTAAAATTTCCTATATCTAAGAAATCCTAAAATGCTGTCCTTTAATATGAGCATATGTATTTAATTTTCAAATAAATACATATACTCTTTAAGTTCTTTTATTGGTACATTTTAGGTATACAATTCGTTTACATTTATCATTGGGTGTTTGTACCTGTATATAATATATCTTGGTTCTTATTTTTTCCCCATTACTTCACCCCCTCCACCCTTCCCTATTTACATAGACATCATTTCTATTACTCTTGATAGTACATACAAAATCATAACCTGGAATATGAATGAATTTAATGTTAATATGGTCAAAAGATAATATATTACTGAACATGGAGCCTCTATGAGAGATCATTTTAACAATTTTCTCAAATTATAATTCTACTTTGAGGTAAAGAAAAATTATTTTAAATGAAGACTATATATGATTCCATCTTTACAAGTTTTATTTTCTAAATAATTTCAAGTGAAGGAAAAATTAAAATATGGACAAAAATCTGATTTTGTTATTTGAGTAAATATGTGTTAAACTATCTTAAAGATCATTTAGGCTACCCATTTTGTTGAGTAGCATAGGTCTTTTATCAGGATAGTCATCATGTTAGCAATTTAATGAACAGTGGGAGATAATTGTATTTGTATAATTTTGTTCCTTGACATGCAAGAAAATATATGTCTTCATCAGTCTATTTCTGAATAATTACAACATGTATACATGTCTTAATAAATGTATTTAATACCAATTTTTAAGAAATTCTATCATTAAAAATGGCACAATTGCCTCTAATAAGATAACCTCATTCTCTATTAAATATAGAGTAAAAGGGTCTTGGAGAATTATTGTTTTACTTGGCACTGAATGAAAAAAATAATTTAACTAAGAAAAGCCATTTATTTTTCTATTTTGAATATTGAAATCCTTTAAAATGATTTTAAAAAATAAGACAATTCATCTGTTTTTATATCTATCATTTATTTGGGTGAAAACCACTAATATGATTATATTAACCTGAAGGCTTCTTTTGGAGTAACATTTTCAAGGTAACTAATTAAAATTTCTACAAACTTTCATGTTAGTTGAATCAATCATATAGACTGAATTGTGTCTTCAAATTTAGGGTATTGACAATTATCTCTCAAATTAGAGAGATCACCCTCAGTTGAAATATTTGCCTGATATTATAGCCAACAGGAGAGTGGAAGTAGAGAAAGGGTTGTTGAATAAATAATTTGTATTTTTTGTGTAATTAATATGCATTTATTAAGCAATAGTGTGTAATGGAGATACAAAGAATTCTAGAATTCATCTGCTCACAGGGAACTTATTGTTTAATAAGACATAGAGACATGCAAATAAAAATAATAATGAAATATTACTCATGGAATTGAGAAAATTTCCAAGCGAACTGTTGAAGATTTGGCCTGTTTTCTTCCTACTATTTGGGAGAGAAGAAAGCTAAATTGATGGAATACCTACAAAGACAAAACAGTACTTGATGGTTTGGAAAATGGTCAGCCTATCTAGAAATCCAGTATCTTCCACTCCCAGCCAAATCCAGCCCAGCAGTTTATATAATATCTATAGACAACTGATCATTGAAAATTTCTTATGATTTGTGTAGAGCTACATGATCCACTCATTACATATGATAAAAAGAATCCTTTGAAGCCAATATCAAAGGCAAAGGAAAATATTCAAATCAGCAGTGATAAGCTTCTTCTACAAATATTTTAGATGCTATTGATCAGGAAAATAGGACTTAATGTTTATTTGGATTTTATGGTAAAAAAGTATGCTAACTGGAAATTTAGCAAGGTAGTCAGATGTAGTTATGTTGGATATTGAAAATCTATTCAACATTATTCATCACCCACTATGTGTACAGCACTATAGTAACATTTTAGAATTTATTAATATTTTATCAAGCATTACTTAGAGTGAGGAAAAAATAAATTAATGTCAAGCCATTAGTCACATATGGCAATATATGTGATCCTTTGCCAGATGACTTCTCTGGGCCAGGTAACAAGCTTCCACACTCACCCATTCCTTCGCACACACTGTGCCTTGACTGTGTGTCAGGATATGTGCTGGTCACTGCAATGCCATGGTTATAATGTGTTCAAAGAATGCAAATTCCTCATTTTAACCCATGTGAGACAATTAGAAAGGTACATTATATGTTTAAAATTAGGCCTAAAGCAAAGTTCGAGTTGTTTCTGTTTGTCATACAGCACCAGAAAGCAGTAAGTGCCTTTATCAACTGAGAACTAACTTTTGTACATTTTACGTTGTAGCCCAAACAGCCGAGATCATTTTGGGCCTCATAGGTCTATTCTTTAGAGCAACTGAACACATATAGGCCATTTTATTCTTTAAAAAGTTGGTAAACTAAACCTGAATGTAAACAAGAAGAGCCAAAAATGAAGGCATTTTATTATGTAATGTACTTTAAGCACCAGTGTGGCCATGTTAAGTGAGTAATAAATACATAATTCATGATTGATTCAAACACTTTTCACACCACTAACCCTGACCACAAACTCATGTTATTATAACTTGCCTTTTATATAAGTTGTACGTAATGCAAAGGGCAGATTTTGACCTCAAAACCTTCAAGGAATTTCCAAGTGCTTGGTCCTTCCACTCCAAGCAGAACTTGAGAATGCTGTCTCCTACTAAGATATTGTCACCCAGGAGAAATGGTCCTGCTGGGTCCCATCAACCAAGTCTTATCAACTGCTGTAGGAGTGTGAACCTCTTACCCACTAGGAAAGGGAAAAAAGCTGGGAGTTTGGCTGTCCAGATAGTCAATCCAGTACTACCTTAAAGCTATCCAGTGAATGAAGTGCTCTGGACATCCTGTATATCATCTGGAATGGAAGTATACACTCTCGTAGGAATTGGAATAGCCTACTTGTTGGTCTGAGAAAAAAGAATGACAAATATTGAAAGAATCCCAAGAAAGAATATGAAGCATTGACTGGGAAGGAAGACAAATGTTTCTAGTAGTGTTCTCAGGATTTGAAATGTCAGAATGAGTCATGCAATGGTCATGTTCTATAAATAAAAAAGAAACCCCACTGAGCACTATTCACATAGTGCATGACTGCTTCATGAGGGTGGAAAAGAACAGACAATTGCCATTCGATAATGTGATGCAGCTTGATCTGCATTGCCTGAGAGGAAGGAGGCAAGTTACTTCTCTCTTCTGATATAAGCACGGGCTCCAGCACCTAAAATTCCCAACTCCTAAGCTTACAAAACAAACTTGCCAGTTTTGAACCCTAAATAAATTAAATTAGAATGGAGTAGTTCACTCTGAAAAGGATCACAGGTAATAGACTGCTTACATTAACTACCCTGCTTTTGACACCTATTAGAAAGTTGAGTAGATGGCAACTGGAAAAAAAAATTCCAAAAAGATTTCTCCTTGAGAAAACTGTTGAGGACACTCAGCTGAAGACCTCATCGGGAATCTGTTGAACCAGAAGAGGGACATGTGTGAACGAGAAGTGACCTTTTTGGCATTCAACTCCAC